TAATTAATAATAACAGAACCTGTAAATAATTCTGGTTCGGCACTTGGATAATCCTCCACAATGTCGGCAGGATTACTCTTGTAACGATTAATTGTACGAAAAAGTAAAGAACATAAATTACAACGAAATTTTGGAAAGGAAACAAAGGAAAGGAGCAAAGCAGAAAGGAAACAAAAACAAGAAAATATCTCTGGTATTAAATCCAGCAGCACTTCGTGGTCTTCAATGCGGCTCCCTTATTTCAGTCCCCAAGCTCTCCTTTTACAGTGAATGAATTGTACGTGAACTGCTTTTGGAAGTGCATTTGAGGGTCATAAAATCCAGGAAGTCGTGCATTTGTTTTGGGCTTCTGTTTGCACGTTTTGAAAGTGGAAGTTATGCAGAAATTATGGGTGTGACGGTCGTCAGGGAGCCATGACGCTCGTGAAGGTCATGACGATCGTGACAGTCATGACGGTCGTAAGGGGCCTGTGACGACCGTCATATCAGCAAAGTTTATTTCTACTACTTTTCTCGTTCTTTTTCTTCTGTTATATGTCTTTTAGAGCTTGTTTTCCTTATCTTTCTTCATTTGAGTATTGATGATCGCGACTTTCTATGTCTAATACAACCTAACTGCAAGTGCACAGTCTATCGCGTAGTAATAAAAGATATCGATCCCACAGGGACTCGTAATCAAACTAGTGTTCTCGGGAGTTACTATGTTTAGCTAGGTAGAATATGTTTAAGGGAATAAGATTGTCACTAAAAGGGAACTAAGAATGCTACTTAGATTATAAATGATTGAATCGATATGTAGTAATTGTGTTCTTCAGGGATTTGACAAGTTACTGGTGTATGAAATAATTTTCAAAGTTTATTTAAGCAGAAAATGGTGATTTGAAGACTCTCGCCTCACGATGGTTATTGACGCTAATCATAATCCTAAGGGCCAAACGTACACTTTCGTATCCCATTCGGGGTTAAAATTATTTTTTGGAAATCTCTAAGTTCTAATTCATTTTAAAGTGCTTTCGCTGTTATTAAAACGAATGACTAGTGTTTACTATCTGACCTTACCGCAGCTTTCGCTTGTTGGTTCGTATCTTAATTAATTTCCCACTTTCGTGGCAAAACTACTTTTAAATAAGTTCTCGCTTTCGCGACGAAGTTTATTCAGTAAATTAATTTTAAACACTCAGACCATAAATTATTTTTGAAAAGAAAGTTTTTCAACCAGTTGTTATCAAATCCCATTCGAATTATTACTACATATCGACTACTTAAGTTTAGCTAGACATGGATTTGGGAAAGATAAAACATAAGTAAAAACAATAAATAATGATTTGCATTATGATAAAACTGGAATCGATTGAAATGAGAAACCTGTAAATATTCCACTTGGCCTTTGGGCAGATCCTCCACAGATGTTGGCAGGATTCTGGTCTTTATGCCAATTTGATCGTACAATGAAAGTAGAAATTACAGAAGAATGAAAATGGAATACAGAAGAAGTAAAGAGAAACAAATAAGAATATTAAACTGGAAAATATGCTCTGGAAATAAATTTGGGCAGCACTTCATGGTATGAATGCGGCTCTCTTCTGAGGTCCCATGCTTCCCCTTTTATAGACATGGAATTCTAACGGTTATAATTGGAGAGAGTGGACTTTGAGGCAGAAAAATCAGGGAGTAGTGGTCCACTCTTTGGGACTTGGAACTGCTTCTTTAACGTGTAACTAAAGTGGGGCGTTTTTGCCTGCATGACGGTCGTCACAAGGTGTGACGGTCGTCACCCGTGTGACGCTCGTCATGGAGCTGTGACGGTCGTCACATCAGCAAAAACAACTTCCTGCGCTTTTCATGATGTTTTCACTCCTTTTTCGTCCATATTTCATCTGAGATTGCTTCTTTTCTTCATGTTGCCTTGTTTAGACGTGATCTTTGAATACCTGCAAAACATCAGACAAATAACACGGAAATAACCCGAAATCGGATCGAAAACGGTTAAACTTTAGTTGAATTATGCATCAAAATATATATACGATTTCGTGTTATCAATTGACTTCACAAACAGTGTTGACCGATATCTTTGACAACAGTGTTGACACAAGATTGACAGAAAACAAGTTTACAAATCATTTTGTCAATTTGAGTTTGTTTTTGTATCTACTTTCTTCACTTTGTTGTGCTGTTGCAAGATATGACCGCGAAAAAGAAAATTGTGTTGGCTTTTCAAACTCTTGGTGTTGTCTTTGGTGATGTTGGAACAACTCCATTAAATACCTTCAGTGTTATGTTTAGAAAGACTCCTATTAAAGATAATGAAGATATTCTTGGGGAATTATCACTTGTCTTGTACACTTTAATCTTGATTCCTTTGCTCAAGTATGTTTTTGTTGTTCTTTGGAAAAATGACGACGGTGAAGGTATGGTGGCGAATTATGTTTTAAAGAAAGCTAAAATATTCACTCCTATTTCTCTCTTCTCTTCATATGTTTTGTCCCCGATCGGGTTTATTTAATTATTTTGAAATTGCTGTAGGTGGTACATTTGCATTGTATTCCTTGATTTGTCGTAATGCTAAGGTGAGTCTTCTTCCCAATCAGTTGCCATCAGATGCCCGTATATCAGGATTTAGGCTAAAGGTGTCGTCCCCTGAGCTTGAAAGGTCTTTAAAAATTAAGGAAAGGCTAGAGTCTTCATCGAATCTAAAAAAGATTTTACTTTTATTAGTTCTTGTTGGTACTTCTATGGTTATAGCTAATGGGGTTGTTACACCAGCAATGTCAGGTTACTTACTGCTCTAGTATTATGTATTTTGTAGCTTTTATGGAAGTGCTTTTGTCATAGTGTGTTTGGAGTTTGGATTGATACTAATATTATGCTGTAGTCACATCTCGTTGCTTGTGTTCATGGCCAACTGTTGTTTTTAATAACCTCTTGATTACTTCATACTTAGTTCTTACTTTATAAAATTTTCTTCTTACAGTACTATCATCTGTTAATGGCTTGAAAATTGGGGTAGATGCCATTAAGCAAGGTACCGTGTTAACCTATTAACAAACTCTTGTCTGTAATACTTATCAATACCTGCATTTGATATTACCCGTAGACACATCATGAGAACATAACTTTTATCTTTCTTTCTCCTTTGAAATAAATAATTGTTGCTTCCCCATTAATAGGTATAGTTTTCAAGGTATTATAATTCAGTCTAAGTGCACGCGGGATGTCGTTTCTATAGTTGGGCTACTCTGGTGGAAACTGGGAAAAATTGGCTAAATATTTCAATTTTAGAATCACTAACGAAGTTATATTAATTTGTTCTACTTCCATGATTATGCAGATTAAGTGGTGATGATTTCTGTTTCTTGCCTTGTTGTTTTGTTTAGTGTACAGAAGTATGGAACAAGTAAAGCTGGGCTTGCTGTAGGACCTGCATTATTTTTATGGTTTTGTTCTCTTGCGGGCATTGGTATATACAATCTTGTCAAATATGACAGCAGCGTCTTAAGGGCTTTTAATCCTATTCACATCTATTATTTCTTCGCAGGGAATTCAACTAAAGCATGGTATTCTCTCGGGGGTTGTCTTCTATGTGCAACTGGTAAACACATATGCAAGACCATTGATATTGTAGATGTGATAATACATATATTCTCTCTTGTCATGTATATTTTATTTTATTTATGTTGTTACAGACATTACATCAAATGTACATTGTAAATGCTGGTACTGCCTTTAAGAAGATGCTTTGGCCTGCTGCACTGAAATTTCTTGATCCCAAAACTACTGCAAAGATACAGGTGAAGGATATAACTATCAACTAGTAATCTTAAACATGCTTGTTTCCTACACACGTTCCTAACAATTGTAGGGTTTTACTAACTTTTTCCTCATCCTCCAGGGGCGATACAGTGGCTCGTCTACAGCAGAATCAGGGTCTGATTTTAATGATTACTCATCTCCTACCAGACAACAGAGTAGTAATTATCCTCGTTTAGCGCCAACTTGTGAAGAAGTGAGTTTCAAAATATCCTCATACTTATTTTAGAATCCTCATTGTCATCTTAACATCCTCCATGTACATTTTAAGCGATTGTCTTGAACTTTTAATCATACCTAATTACTCTGTCATATGCAGGTAAGAGCACCAGAGGCCAATGGCTACTCCAACTATGATGATAGTGCTCTATCGGCTCAGGATGTGATTGAAAATGACCAACTTCACCTTACTCGAATGCAGTCATTGCAAATTAATGATACCGAAAATGTTGTTTATAGGACAAATTCAGAAGGTATTAAACCAATTATATTTATAAGTTCCTTTCATATGTTCCATGTAGAGTTCAAGTTGTGCATATACCTTGGTATATTTGGACGTGGTAGTTGAAAATATTGACAAGTATTTCAATATGATTACTTTTATTTTTCAGGTGCTTTGGTCAGCAATTTGTTAAGCGTTATTAAGGAAAAATTAGCTAAAATAAATTTCTTATATGTGCCACAAGCGCTGGCATCCTTCATTGAAATACTTGTTGGGTTCGTATTCAACCTAAGATTTGAATTTTGGAGAACACCTAACATTGTTCACCCATCAAATTCTTTGTTATGAGCTTTCATTTTGACATGAATGAATTACACTCATGTTTGTTGTTAGTCATCTGTTCTATGATGTCTTGCACATATATTGAGTTTCTATAATCTGTATCATATAATTGTGTTGAGAATTCAATGACTTTATGCTAATTTTGTTTCAAGTTTATAACTGTAGTTGTTTCTTGGTCAAGAGTTTATGTATCATATATTGAATTTGAGTGTATAAGTATTGTGGGTATTGCATGTTTTGTTTTGTGTGCCATGATGGGAATCCAATTCTGTGATGCTTGTTCTTTTTTCTATTTGATATATGTTGTTCTTAACCTTTTATCTTTGTATTGTTTTATTGTAGTATCCATGGGTAAAAAGATTTGACATGGCAGAAATGCTCATACCAGGTCGGCCTGAAAGGAGAAGCGATGAATTTGGTGTCTCCGAATGGTGTATCATCTGTTGATTGGGTGAGTGAGTCATTAGCTTCTCAAAACCAGCCGCAGTTGAAATGGCACAAGGTAATATCAGTTAGTTACTGGTTTACATTACTTTAATATCTATTGAAGTATATAAAGCTTCTAATCTAATTCGAAAATTTCAGGCCGATTTCAATGCACCTAATGGAAATGAACCATTGGCATTAGACATGAGCAATATGGGAAAGGGTCAAGTATGGATCAATGGACAAAGCATAGGAATATATTGGATGGTTTATGCAAAAGGTAACTGCAATTCTTGCAACTATGCCAGAACATATCGTCAGGCGAAATGCCAGAGTAAGAAAAGTGTAAGAGTACTACCACGTCACCTCCTTGAACCCAAAACTCTGTCAAAGTCAATATCTTCAAAACGCCATATTCGCGCGCATAAAACAAATCACACCCAGAAAACTCTAACTTCACAGTCCACGTGTCTCACTTCAAAACCGTTCAACGAAAAAACGTTTCGTTTTTAAGTAATGTAGCTTCTCATTATACATATAGTAACTAACTTTCACTTCTTCACTCCACAAACCTCTCTCTAACGATGGCTTCACGGAGAATCATTTCTTCTTTGGTACGATCTTCCCTCCGTCCATCTCCATCCAAATCCTCCACCACCGCCTCAACATCGAGACTCTCTTCTCAATCACGTCTTTCTCTGTCCCCTTCCCCTTACTTTCTCAACCGTGTAACGGAATACGCCACCGCGGCTGCCACTGCATCTCCCACCCCTCCTCCACTTAAGAAAGTTAGCGGCGGTGATGAAAAGATTACTGATGAACATACAGGGAAAGGTGCCATTGGACATATTTGTGCAATCATTGGTGCTGTAGTGGATGTGAGATTCGAAGATGGAGTGCCTCTGATCCTTACCGCGCTTGAGGTTCTTGAAGGCTCGCAACGGATTATGTTGAAGGTTGCTCAACGTTTAGGTCAGGGTGTTGTTAGAATTATTGCTATGGAGGCTACTGAAGGTGTTGTTAGAGGATGGCGTATGCTCAATACCGGCTCTCCCATCAGTGTAAATTCCTAATCACTTACTTCTATTTATTGCTATTTTAGAGATTTCAGAGATTGAAGAAGTGTAATCATTTGTCACTAACATTTACTTTATTCTTGTTTTCTGTTTAAATTCCCGTTGGCAGGGCCACCCTTGGACGCATCATGAATGTTATTGGAGAACCTATCGACCACAAAGGCAAATTTAGTAAGCAACCGCTAAATCTTTCATAAGTCCGAAGTTTTCTATGGCGTAGTTTCTTTGGAAAATTTTCAACTGATGATAAGCTTTTGTGAATTATATTAGAAACCGAGCATTATTTTCCCATTCATAGATAGGCTCCTGCTTTTGTTGAGCAAGCAACTGAAAAGCAGATCCTTGTTACTGGTATCAAGGTATTTTTTGTTTGCTAGCGACTTCCTTTTTGTTTTTGTTTTTTTTTTAAAATTTATTTTATTTGTGGTGAATGCATCAACCTCATATCCTTAAATGTTCAATTACACAAATTTGCATAAATTTCTTCATATAGGTTGTTGATCTGCTTGCACCATACCAAAGAGGAGGAAAGATCGGGTTGTTTGGTGGTGCTGGTGTAGGAAAAACTGTGCTTATCATGGAACTTATCAACAATGTTGCCAAGGCTTATGGTATATAGCTTAATGTTTCTGCACCTAGTTTATTCTTATTGAGAGGCTATTTTTCTCATCTGACTTGCTATACATATTTCTAGGGCCAAGTGTGTAATCCTACTTAATTTCTTTTGGCAGATCAGCACGTTCTCCTCTGAAGCTGATTGATAGGTTCTCTGATAATCCTGATATTGGCACACTACATGATAATTTTGTGTGAGCATTACTCCTTTTTCTCTTCAAAACTTTATTTAAACTTCACGAGGTTAATGTGTCTTAATAAGCATTATTTCACTAACAAATTATATTTCATGATTTAGAAATTGATACAGATTTTGTTAATGCAATAACAGGAGCTTAGTTGACAATTATCGGGACTACAAATATCTGGGAACCCGTGTCCGCGTTGATGGAACAGTTGGGGAGTAAGCAGCTCTAATAAGCTTTCAGTTCTATCTTTGTTTTTTTTTCACTCAGATTTCTTTTACATCATTCTCATCATTGCCATTCATCCTGCAATTCTAAGGTACAAGTGGATGACATATGGAGAAGCAGGTACTGCTCGAGCGACAATAGGTTATGGTTTGGTTAATCATGGAATCCCAAAGGTGTGTGCTAGATCACATTTACATGGTTGTTATTATTATTTTTATTTGATTTTTCACATGGCATCACTTAACTATTAATCTATGTGCATTTTTCTAGGGCTCTGGCATTGGATTGTATTTTATTAACAGACCTGAGTGGCTCATTATTGATCATGCTTGCTCTGCATATTCATATATATCAGTGCCTTTATATGATACTCTTGGTATGCTACCTGCATTTTATCAGGGAACTCTCTTTCGTATTTATGCTAGCTGCCTAACATGTTGAATTAACAACAAGAAATTGTTTGCTCTATAGGTCCTGATGCTGTCAAATTTATTGTTAATCATGCTCTTGTACAAGTTATATTTTGCGTGTCTCAGACATTAAATTCAGTAAGTACATATATATGAGATTCAAGTTAAACTTTGTGTTGCATGTATCATTTGTTACCTTCAAATTGAGTAATATAGAAGCATTCATCATTTTTTTGATGACTTAGTTTGAGCTTGATACATTCCCCGAGGTGAATACTATTCATCTGTTACCTTCAAAATATAGTGGGACGTATATTGAGGAGAAGAAACTGAAGGTAGTCCTCATTAGTCCACCGACTTCGCCGGTTTTGCTTCCAGTAAATGGTGATATGAAACAGGATCCGTCTTACCAAATTAATGTGCTAAAAGATAGGGTGATAAGTGGAATTGAAAAAATACCTCCCCCTCTAAAAGTGAGCTCCTCTCCTTCCAAGTTTCAAACATGAATCGCTCTCACAAGTTACTTGGATTATGATATAATGTTTTCAACATTGGATGGTTGATGATTAGTTCATGACTCTTTCGTTTTTTTGTTTCTTTTTATCAGGCTTCTGCGGAAGTTAAAGGTTTGGAACCAGTCTTGGACACGAGAAAGGATAGAACAGATGAGGATAATGTCCCGAAACATGCTGAAAACGAGGGTGACATGAAGCCAGCAATAGATGATGATGTGCAGTTGAATTTAGCAAAGGGTTGTGAGGAGTTGAAATCAAAGCTTTGTTTGATGGATTCAAAGTTAAGAGAGGTTAGAGCTCCTGAATTTAGATTAAGCATTATGAATGTAAGTTTTCTAGTCCCTGTGCCTGTCATACTTAAAACGTGGTTTTCTCAAATTGTTGGTTGGTAGTATAAACTTTATTAGGCTACTATCTAGAATGGTAATTGATGGAGAACATGAATTAACCTGCGTAATTTCAAGCTATCTAATATCTATTAACTCTGCATTTTACTAATATGTGAATAAGCAGGGCTAGGATCATATCATAATGCCATATTGTTTAGTTCCTTTTAAGCCAAAAAAATAGACTTTATCATCAACTAATGCATGTTTCATATCACGGTGGAATTGTAAAAATCATGGCGAGGAAGTTGACTGTTAAAAGCATAAATCACAGAAGAAGCTATATCTCCACTGCTCTTCTGGATTAGTTAGGGAGAGTACCTATTTGACACACCCTATCTTTAACATGTATATCCCTTTTCTCAAAAATTTTGATTTATGTCATTGAATTTCGTAAGCATACTACAATTTTGTTTCATTTGATTTTTCCTTTATAGGTACCAAACTGAGCATGAGTTGCTGAGATACATTCATAGGTTACAATCAAAAGATCTCTCACTTTGCCACAACATGATCCCACTTGGATCATGTACAATGAAGTTGAATGCAACAACTGAAATGATGCCTGTGACATGGCCTAGCTTTACCGATTTGCACCCTTTCGCACCAACTGAACAGGCTCAAGGTTATCAGGTACTTCCTTCGTCTCATACTAACTGTCTTTTAAGGTAATGCACATGTCTTAAGAAAATGTTTATCTATACTAATTTTCAATGCAATAATACCTTAAAATATAGGATAGTTTTGTGTTTTCTGTGTCTAAACAAGCGAATTTGGTTCCAAGAAATGTTCGACAACTTAGGTGATCTGTTGTGTACCATTACTGGATTTGACTCCTTCTCTTTGCAACCAAATTACACGTCAGGGCTGGTTTGTATGTATATGTCTTAGGTTTTTGTTTCATTTTTTTCATCATATGATATATGTTTTTTTCTCCATTATTGGATTTGATTTAACAGTTACTATGCTTAGGTTGGTTTGTATCAAAGGTGAAGGTGGTGGTGAGAGTTGGATAGAGATGGCTCAGAATCCAAGAGTTATGCCAAACTGTGTTTATGCTTCTAATCCCTATCATGAATGCACTTCAAATTGCTTGCAAAAGATCAAGGAATCAAATTCCAAGCCACCTAAGATTAAAAAGAGTTTTGGTTAGTTCTTTTTCTTATTTGTTTGGATTATGTGATTTTAATTTGTTTGCTGATAGAAGCACTTTTGGGAGAGATTATGAAAATAATTTATGGTATTAGCAATTTGTTTTGATGATAGTTATTAATGAGTATTTGGTATATGGCATCTAGTTATGGCTAAACAAAATCACTTCTAGAGTTCTATCAACTGTAATAACTACTTACCACTATATATTGCTTTTCTGTTTCTCAATTTTACTTTCTCTTGACACTTATCAAATCTTTTTTGTTTCCAAAGCTTATCGCAAAAGTGTTACGGATGTTGGTAAAACCAAAAAGACGAACGAAGAAAAGTGCACGCTCTCAGGCTGTCCTAAAGCATCTAATCCTTACCATCAATGCGATGTAAATTGCCAGAAAATAATGTCGGGAGCCGGTTCAGGTCTCCTTTCATTTTCTATCTACTATTTAACGATATCAAATTCAATGACAGTGAATGTTCAAAAAGAACAAGAGGTGGCAGATATTAAAACGAAGATCGACGGAATAATCAGAGAACGGATCAGCGAGCTCGAGGTGAAGTCATCTGATTTGGAGAAGAACATGTTAAGTATAAATTAAAGGTTGATAATTTGGATAGGAGATCATTGCTATATGAACTACTTTGATTTTAATAATGTAAACTTTATAGGTAATATATGCATAACAAGTAGGTCTGTAAGGTTGATAATTTGGATAGCAAATCCTTAATGGGCTGTGACATATGAGGTAAACAGAATCTGCTGCAATGTTTTTTCATCATATTTCACTTAATACTGGTGGTAATTTGTAGGTTGGAAATATTGGTGGTCGAGAATTTGTAGATTTTTTTAAAAAAAATATTTGCAACTTGCGGCGGTTCAAACCACCACAATATACCATAGTTTTTTTTAAAAAAATATTTGCAACTTGCGGCAGTTCAAACCGCCACAATATACTTCGCAATAAAACAAAAATCATTAAGCAAGTTAAGACAGTTAAAAACCGTCACAATATGGAGATTATGACAGTTAGCTACCAGTCGTGAAAATAACGACGGTTTGTACAACAGTTTTCACAACCGTCGCAACACGGCCTCGCGACGCACCTTTCTGCGACGGGATTGAAACCGTCGTAACTTACAAATTGCGGCGGTTAAAACCGTCGTAATCTATCAAAATGAACCGTCGCAATTTGCCTATTTTCTTGTAGTGAAAGGACATCATCTGTCGTTACAGAGTGCCTGAAAGAATCATTACTGATAATGGTTCGAACTTGAATAACAAGATGATGAAGGAATTGTGCCAAAGTTTCAAAATTGAGCATCACAACTCATCTTCCTATCGTCCGAAGATGAACGACGTTGTTGAAGTGGCCAACAAGAATATCAAGAAGATAGTGCAAAAGATGGTTGTAACCTATAAGAATTGGCATGAGATGTTGCCATTTGCTTTGCATGGATATCATACCACGATACGCACTTCAACTTAGGCAACATCTTTCTCGCTGGTAT